TTTACATTATACAGCCGTGCAGACTGCTCATTTGATTTCTAAAAGTGATTTTTTGTCCTTGATTTGACTATGACTTTCTTTCAACTAAAAATCCAGGTAAAACTGTCATATCACTTAATTGTTACCATTTCCAGTAGAAAGCTATTCTTTCCATTCTGAATGTTTTCTTATGAATTCCTGATTACCATGCTATCATATCACTTATTTTTAAGCACATACTGTATGTGGTGTACCAATCTTTGTGTTCCCTTTATATTTAGAGAATTTTAGTGTTAAGTAGTTTTTCCTGAAACTGGTTAGAGAAAATTGCAAATCTAGTCTTATCACAGTTCTGCAGGTTCAAGAATCTGATGCCTAATTGGTTTCTAGTGAGGGCCTTATGGTGGACAGCATCACACAGTGGGAGCATGTGCAAGAGAGAGCAAGAGGGAGGCGGAGGAAGAAAGAGACTTTCAGGTTGCCAATAGAGAAAAAAGATTTATTCAAATGTCTGTCCTCATGGCCATCCTAGCTAACCATGTTTTCCTGTGTAGATCCTATGATTCTTTACATTTTACCTACTTTAAGCCCAGAGATTGAAAATGAAATGATTATGACTACACATTAAATCATTGTATTATCTGCAAAAATAATATGAAATAGCCTAACATGATGGACATTACAGAACCAAATCCTACACATATTCATTTTATTCCCAATAAAAACTTGTACCATTTGATTTTTTTCTTATTAATAGTACAAACATAACTCCCTTGCAGAGTATCCTGTCAGTGGGATGCTATTAAATAGCATGTGTACTGTTACATATGTCAGTGCTTTTCATGGACTCGTCTAATAGTCACATTAGCCTTAAGTGGCGACTTTGTCTTCACTTTCCCATTAAATTGAAATCTCTAAAGTTTAAGGAATGTGTACTCAGCTGGATTCAGGATCAGAACTCAAGCTCTGCAAATTCTCCCTCTACCCAATTTAATAACATCCTCATCCCTAAAGACCTGTTTCAAATGTTTCCCATTGGCCTCCCTGCTCTGCCAGAATCAACTTTTCCCTTCTTTGCAGTCTTTTAGTCTGTCCTTACTCATATCTATTGCCTGCTGTTTTTTCACACTGGGTGGTTTATGAATACCTTTTCTCTTCCTCCTTACCAAGCTGCAAACCCTTGGAGACAAACATCATTACACATTTTTGTATTCCTAATAAATTTAAGTTAGATCTTGATTAAGGATTTGAGGGAATCATGTTTGCAGTCATTATGGACATGATGAACACATTCTAGGTCTTCATAGGACTGAAGAGCTTTGTGGCGTGGGCCTGTATCTAAGCCTTGTAGGACTTAGGAGCCATCAAAATACAGCAGACCAATAACCCTTTTATAACTTCTTACTGAATCATAAGCAGGGAAATGCATTTGTCTACTTGATGAAGGTTCTCTTATCTAGTTGTGTGCATTTAAGAACCTCACCATTTGGTAGATTTTTGGAGACACTGATCTGCAGAATAGAGCTGGGCTATGACAGCTATTCAGTAATTTTCCACTGTGTTAACATTTAGAACTGTTTCCAGAGGAAGTAAACTAGTCATAAGAATTTGGAACTACTTAACAAGAAATACGATCATAACCCTAACTGAAAAACACAGAAAAGGCATACAAACGGCTGCTAAACATAAAAGTAATTTCATGCTAACATGAAAGTATTCCTCATAATAGAAATGCAAATTAAAACAATAGCATGCCACTTTTTGAGATTTTTGAGTCTTATATGAGTGTGAGGGAAGAATATTTTCACACATTGTTGGTTAGTGGAAAATGGTGCAGTCTATGGAATAGCCCTGTTCGCCCATCTCTTTTGGTTTCCAATTTTGGTCACCCAAAATTAATCACAGTCTAAAAATATTAAATGGAATATTCCAGAAATGAACAACTTATCTAATGCCATCTCACTCTGTCCTATCCAGAGAATGAACCATCCCTGTCTAATGTATACACACTACATATACTCCCTGCCCATTTGTCACTGAGTAGCCCTCACCATTAAAGTGTATGTTCTAATAATACTATGATTAGTTATTATTAACTTCTTATTGTGCTTAATAAACTATCATAAGTATGTATATATAGGGAAAACTGTATATATAAGGTTCAGTACTATCATGGTTTGAGGTATCCACTGAAGGTTCTGGAATGTGTCTCTTGTGAATAAAGCAACTACTATATCAAATTTTTAAAGCACAATTTGATCTAGCTTTTCCCACTCTTAGATATCAACTCCATAGATATACTTGCACGTTATTAAACAAATAGTAATGTACTGTTGCTATTTTAAGCAAAGCATTAAAACAGCTGAAAAGTCTGTGAATTCAGGACTGATGAAATTCCAGAGAATTCTGTGTAGTTGTTAAAAGCTCAAGTATTTATTTTGCAGATATGAAATATCCAAAATATATTTTTATTTTAAAAAGAAAGATAAGAAATTAAGACATAGAATTGTATAGGAGGAAGGACATAGTTGAAACAATATGTATATATTTCAACGTGAAGAAACTAGAAGAAAATGGTTAATAATTGCCCTCAAACAGGGACTAAGAACAGTGACAGACATTTTTCATTGTATAGCATTTTGTACTGATTGATTTTTTATGTAGAGGTGATAACATTTTGCAAACATTATTTTAAAATATGCAGAAGACCAAAAACATTGTTTAAAAATTGCACCAAGAAAAATTGTCATATTTGACTTGGTACCAGTTTGTGTCATCATACCACAAATTTGGTAGTTTAGTGGTTAAACTAGGAAAATTTTAATTGCCAATTAAGTAGATCAGTAATACACACCCAGTAACTTAAGGATATTTGAATTAAACATATCAATCTGCATATTAATAGTAACATTTAGTTACTTCAAAACTCATTTTCTCCAAATGTATACTTTTGTGCAATACTAGGGTTTTTGTACCCAAATTTATAGTACCACCATTCTAAAAACTTAGCATTCTGATACACACCTTTGTCAAATTTAATAGCAAATGAAACATATACTTTATGAGCATGATGTGTTCTATGCTTTCATTTTCTTTTTTCAAGTTTAATACTTAATATGCTTAACTGCCAACCTATCGTAATACGTTTTGGTAACTTGCCATGAGTTCTCAAGAAGGTGTACTTCAAACGCTTTTGCTTAAAAAAAAAAAAAAAAAAAAAAAAAATATGCAGACTAGCAATAGCCAGTGTAACTTTTTTCAAAAATCAACATTTCTGACATGAATGAATATAATGTATTTTAGATCTCTTAGATCATGTAACAATTTAAAATATGTTCCTATTCATATTAGTTTTAACTTTTGTTTTAAAACTTTTGCTATTTATTTTTATGAGGAATAAGCTAACTTATAGTCTGTCATTTTGCATAATATCTATTTAAACAAATTGACACTCTGTCATTCAGTGGAACTACTTGCCCAGGGAGATTCTAGTGAGGAGAGCAGCAATGTAAAGCCATGACAAACAGGTTTGGGTTACTGAATAGCAAAATTAGTCACATGAGATTGCAAGGAGGAATCAGAAAAATGTTACTGGAGTCTACCATTACCCAACTGTGTCAAAATGCTTACACATTAGCCACTTCAGTATCCTCCACTAACAGATTCATAGATGTACAGCTATAATTGAGAAAGCTTAAAAGAACCAGTCAAATGAGTTCTTTCCCTTGCAGCATGACTACTAGCTCTAATGGGGCTGATAAATCATCATAGAAAAAGTCTTGTTTTGACGATAAGAGTATAAAGTTGTCAAGTCTGTCGGGTGACCAACGAGTCTACAGTATGCTGCAGAATAGTTTATAAGCCTATATTTAAGATTGGGGATCACATGAGCATTATGCAGAGCCGACGAGGCACCCTTTGGACTTGCAAGGTTCTGTAAGAGTAGTACTATTCAGACATTTCATTATGATTTCTGTGTTAAATATTGATTTGGGTTGTTATGGAGCAACTACTGTGAATTCAGCAATGTGTTTATTTCCAGAGATAAAAATGTTATCCTCCTTTCCTTCAGATGTGTAAGGGCTATTCAGATACAAAGATAGTGGAGAACCTAGAAGAGTTCACAATAAAGTGCAGTATTACTGATGATTAAATTCAGAGATGACATGAGATTTTGGTCAGGTGTAAAAGCAAGGGTAAGTTTTGGTTAAAAAGAGTGGAGGGCAAGGCTTCTGAGGAGGGAACAACACTCAAAAACAGGTGGGAATGTGCCCATGACCTTGTGGAATAAGGGAATAATGAAGAGATGACCAACCTAACATCCAAATAAGCCAGTTTCTCCATCAACATAAAAGCTCTTTGAAAGAGGTGACCAGAGTATCGTGACATGCACTGGTCACCAGATAGGCTTGACAACTTTACACTCTTCTATCATCAAAAAAAAGGACTATTTTTCTACTGATGGTTTATCAGCCTTATTAGAGCTATAGTCAAGCTGCAAGAGAAAGAACAAGATTGGTATTTCCCGTTCCAGGCTGGTGACAGTATGTCCTCAGGCATGTTTGTGCTTAATTTTTGAAGACTTTCATGGTTTAAGTATACACACCTTACTTGTTAAAATTCAAATGAAATAATCCATGTGAATGTGCTTAGAGAACACAGTAGGCATTCAACAAATATTAATTCCTTTTTTCAAAATGGCTGTGATCCTGATTAAAATTAAAGGACTGAATCTTGCCAGGTTAAATAATGTCTTTTCTGATATATACTGATATAATCCATATATGCAGTGGCTGTTTTTGACCAGTGTTATCTGAGTGAACTCATTACTCAATTCGTACAAGCACAGTTCATTGTATTCAGTTAAGAAGGAAGTAAAACTTATATATACTTCTGGAATAATAAATGCTTTACCTACTCTTTTAGAGACCTTAACAATAATACTATTGAACTTTCTTTTACAAGGTTGATAGTGTGGAATTAAAGAAAAAACTAAAATGCCTTACACTTTTTTTTTCCAGCATGCTACAAATGAAAACTGATGAGAAACTGAATTTATCTGATGGGAATACAGCAAGTTGCCCTTTGAGCCCCGTTAAGATGTGCCTTAATCGTCCCATTGAGTGGAACCTGAATTTGACAGCAGCATCTCTAGCAAGCTGTACAGTTCATAACCAAAATCCCAAAAGTGAAGAAAAATAGATTGTAGTTCTCATTTTGTACATCATTATTATTTCTGCTAAATAATTAGCAGTTATCAATTGATCTTGAAATATTTCCAGTCCTGTGATTTGTCTTTATATTGTCATTAGCATTAATCATTTTTATTATATTCTTTGTATGATGTTTTTTTACATGTTTTACACCTGACCATTGTGGAATTTTGCAGTACAAACAATTTTGATGTTTCTCTTTTTAATGGTATTTTGTGAATTTTTTATGCCCTAAGTTTAAATACATAATTGTCCCCAATTTCTGTGCACAGTTTTAATATATAATACTTCATGTAATTTAGAAAACTAGTATTGTAAAGATTTGTGATGCTGACCTGGCCCATGGAAGTTGTATAATAGGTGGATACCAACTACCTCGAAGCAAACTGGCAAAAGAAAAGGCAAAGGTATCTTTTGGAAGTAAATCTCTCAAAGTTATATATGTACAGAAAAAATGATTGATCCCTAGTTTATCATCAGATAGCATGTTTCCATTCCAGTTTTCATTCTCTATTAACAGTAGCCTGTGGGCTGTGAGAGAAATGGCACAATTGCATGTTAACCTTCAGCAAATCTGTGCCTTTGGGTAGACAAAAATACTATTTGGTCTGAGTTACCAATTTTGAATGAAAAATGGTAAGTTTATTTATACCTGTTGGTTTTATTTTATTCATTAATTTTAAAGTTTAAAGGGATATCATTTAATAATGGACCGTGTTAATTATACTAGTATAAATATACTGTTAGCAATGGCTAAGTGATTTTGTCTAAAAATTGAATAGTAAGAACACTAAAGGTTTGGTGCTTAAATTTATTTTTCCCATGCCAGAGAATGCAAGCTGTGGTATAGTCTGTATCCAAACATGGCTCCTTTCCTTTTGGATAGCCTAACCATGTGTAAATGGGATTTGAGTTTATCGTGTCTAAAAGACTTCCTTATAATTTATGTACCATTATCAGTCCTCCTTCCTTTCTACCAAAAAAGTTACTTTCTAAGTGACAGGGATTTAACTAAAGACATAACTCAAAAAGAATCTGAAGCACAGGAAAAGACACAGAGCCAACAAAATGAATAACTAACATGTTTTTTATTGATTTGCATCGTCACATCTCCTTTTCCTTTTGTTTAATAAGCATTCTTGCTTTCTGAGTTCTATAAAGCACATGTTTATATAGAATATAGCAACCTGGTTCTAAAACCCAGCAATATTACTTCACCTCCATCATAAAACATCACCTTTTAATAACCTCTGACAAAATTAAAGAAGCACAATTACTAAAACAGATCCATGTTAGAACATTTCTGTTCTAAGTAACATAATTATCAGAGAGTGAGAAAAGGTGTTGGGTGTTGCAGAAGGAGGACTAATTTCATATGGTGCAAGTTTCATACATTGGGCAAATGTCAGTTTCAAAAGATGATAAATGAAATTGACAGGGAAGAAAGCTCATGAATTAGTAATCAAAGAGGACTTCCTGTCAATGCTTCTCTCAGTAGTGGTAGTGGTGGTGGTGGTAGTAGTAGTAGTAGTAATAGTAGTAGTAGTAACAGTATTAAAAAATTTTTTGCCAAAAAGCAGCTGCAAAATTTCTATGTAGGCATCTCTCTAACCCAGAAACACAACTGGGCTCCCACATGCAAATACTTTAGGAGGGGAGATTACCCTGCAGGTAGCATAAGAAAATGTTCTTAGTGAAGGAGTCACAACATAAGATTGTCAAATAAGTGTTTAACTTGGAAGACGAGCACTTTGATTCATTACACTGGTCCTCCTTAGAAGCTCCTTTCTGGCTAGTTTGTGGTAATTCATTTGTCCTTGAAATGCAGCCTGTTAAGTGTGTGCTGAAGCATTCTCACCAAGTGTTGTTGGACCTGCTCTCTAATCTTCTCAAGTGCAAGCTCCTGCTCAGCTAGAAGTTTTCTATAGTTCTATAATGCCATAATAGCACAAGAATTGCCTGGGGAGCCTATTTAAAAAGCAGATTCCTAGGCCCACCTCAGATTCTGATAAAACCAATCTATTTGGCTAATGCCAGCAATCTTTGTATCCCACCAAAGGTACAGGCCAAAGCACAACAAAAGTTTTCAGAAAGACATCCGGCTTTTTCTGATTTTGATACAAGGACAACTTTATTAAAGCAAAAATGAACATAACTTTAAAAGGAGTCCACCTCCATCATCTCTCCTAACTTACATCTTTATTGAGAAATGGTGCAAGGTTTAGTTTACTTTTTTCCAGGGCTGCTGTTTTGGCTCGTCTTGGTAATCTCATCCTCATTTCTGATTCTGGTTCTGGAATTTCATGATCACTAAACAGAGGTTGAAAATATACCAATTTAGATATAAGCTTTAAAACCAATTTATTTATAAATAAAACATTTTTGTTTCTGACATTATATCAGTGTGTATTTGATAGCCTGATTCCATTAACTAAGTTTAAAACTAAAATCTCAAAATACCAGCCAAAAACACTAGCTATTCAGCTAAGTGGACTGTGGAAAACCTAGCCAATTTTTTATATATTACTGAAACCCAGTGTTATAACAGGAAAACAAAACACCAAACTTTTGTAACAAAGTTTATAATTAAACAGGGACCATAATAAACCATCCAAAAGAGGGTTTTTTAGAACTAAAGAAGTGGAAAAAGAACTAAGTTCTTTTGATTATGTAAATTACACTAAGGCAACCCCACACACACACACAAGTATAACCAAGATTTAATCTGCATGTAGTGAAAATACAATTTTACAATGAATAAATAGATGAATGCAAGACAGCTACAAACTTTCAGCTCCAACAAGGGCTTAACTGACAAGACTCCAAAACCAAATACTATCACACAAACCATTAATATATTCAATTATAGGCAGAATTATTCTATCACTATAAATGTAAAGAACCCAAATGTTATCTAAATGAAGAGTTTTCATGATCAAAAAGGAGTCATGGGTCATGCAATTACAAAGATATGTGGAAATATAAATTGAGAGAACACATTAAAGATGACTACCTAATAACTGTACAGGCTATGCCAACTAATAGGCAAAAGCACACAAGCCATAGTCAAATGCTCTTGATAATGGAATTTTAGACTATGTATCAAAGTCATAGCTATTTATAGTTTTTACTACATTGTTATATATACTGAGTCTCTCACAGAATTTTTTTCTACTTCTAGACAAAAAAATTTAAAAATAACAAGAAACATAGGCCTCTTCACATATTCCAGACATACATGACATACCTTTCAGAGTCAGTCTCAGTAATCTGACGTCTCCTGTTGGTCCTAGTTGAATCTGACACTTTCCTCCGTCCTTAAAGATAGTATAATTATCAAAATTTATTATCAATTGTTTAATGTTTTAAAAATGTTGTTTCTGGGCTATCTGAATCCTTTATTTTTGGCATACAATCTTCTAACATATTTCTTTCTTATTCCCAGCCACTTTGATGTCAATTATCAATATATCATGGAGAAAGAACCCAACCCGTGAACCCAAGCAAGATTAAATTTATATTAATTTCTTTTGTTAAGTACTGATAAAGAACAATGGGAATTAATACAAGTTAAAAAAGAGACAATTTTATTTGGGGAGAAGCAGGTGAAAACAATCTTAAATTTTAAAAATAACTATTATAGCTGTAACACAATCCATATGGGTAGATTAATGAAAATTAAGGTTAGAAAGACAGGTGATGTCTATGAACAGACCCTAAAAAGAGAGAAATGTCATTTCATTTCAGAGATGGGGTCTCACAATGTTGCCCAGGCTGGTCTCGAACTCTGGACTCAAGTGGTCATCCTACCTTCACCTCCTGTGTAGCTTGCTACTACAGGCATATGCCACTATACCCATATACCCAGCTTGAAATAGAACTTTAATGGCTCCTTACAAAATATTTAAATATATACATGAACAATTCAAATATGTTTTCTAAAATATATTTCCATGTAAAAACAAAAACCTTTATCTACTAAGGGTTCTAAAAATTCTACTTGCTAGAAATTTACAAGGTTACAAAGACAGAATTTGCCTTATAATGTTCCTCAATTATAATAAAATATCATGTATACATGAAGTTTGGGCTATTAAAAAAGATGAAATTCTCATATTTCAAGTGACTAAAAGTAATCTAATCAAAACCAAATTGTGAAGTTGATCATTTATTTGAACATCACATTCCTTATATAAGTTAGATTCCCTCTCATGCCTCACTTGCTTCTACAATACATTTATCCCCAAGACAGCCAATATTGTGGGACAAATCTGGAACAAGAGCCAATAATTGGTGTTGAAATAACTGATAGGTTGTGAAACACTATTATGGCCAGATTCCATTTTAAGAAAAAAAATCTGTTTAGAAAAGGGCCTTAAAAATATTTTTCAAAGATTAAAATCATGGTTGGCTCATGGGTGGGATTATTAGTATTCTTTCCAGTAGTCTGCTTGAATGTACTGATTCTTCTGTAATAAGCATGCACTGCTTTTGTAATAAGGAAATAATAAAACAATAAAAAAATCTTGAATTTCATATTTTCTTCAAAGTGATCCCCTAGTAAGTAGTAAACATTTACTTTATTCCAACAAATCCTCTTGTTAGATTATCCTTGGGAAACAAATTAAGTTGGGAAAATATCAGATGGGATGTAAAGAAAACAGAAAAATAGAAGAAATCAATGCTCAGTCATAGAACACAAATAACTTATAAGCTAACACACTTAACCAAATCTTAAACTTTAACCCAAATAGTAATTTACAATATGGTCTATTGTATCATGTTTCTTTCAATCCAAAGCACCTGAACCAATTTTAGATTCTTTAGACATAAGGATAAGGATATCTAAGACATTTAAAAATCATTATCCCTAAGGAAACAAAGACAAAGAAACTATCAAAGTATTTTTCACTAGAAGAGAAAATTGAAACAATTTTATTATAGGAACTAGTCAATCCAAATG